GACGCCACAACGCCAGTGACACCATCGCCCTCCCACCGCCCACGCAGCCTCACATAACCACCATGCAGACCAGTAAGATCCCAGAAAAAAGACACATTGCTATTAGCACCGCTCTTGAAACAAAATGGTTCTACCACAGAGCAGTACCAATGCCGTGAAAGACGCACAAGTGCCAAGACACACCCACGTGGCGGCGTTGCAACCGGCAGCCATCGAGCGCGTCCAAGAACGTGGTAATGGTGACGTGGAAAAGGGGTGGAGAAATCGCCACTCGCCAGCAGTCAAGGCGTCTTTTCTTGCTCGCACAGGTCAGCATTGCACAACAAACAGCGGCACCATAAACGCACACGGCACACGCAAGGAAGAATGAAAAAGCACGGTGGCAGCAGCCAGACACGGGGGACAAGGGTCCACACCGATGTTACGCTCTGTTGGCTCATAGACATCCGAATTGTAATCATTTCGCTGACGCGCACCGCGCGTGTCTGCTGTGGACTCAGAGGAGGATGAGAAGAGAGAGAGAAGGTGCAGTTCTCAGCCATATCGGTTGATTGTGACGCCAGTAACGCCACCTCCTCAGATCGCCTGCAGCAAAGACCGTCACCATCAGCAGCGGTCGGTGCCTTCCTTCTCCACCGTCGCCGTCACGCGCCTCCTCTCACACCAACACAACGGGGGAGCAACAGCCACACGCAACAGCCAGCACCGAGTGCAAGAGGAGCAACCAACCACACTGCAATACATATATCGTGTAAGTGTCGCCGTGTGTGTGCCTACGGTCGCGAAAAGAAAATAAAAAGCAAAGCATCCGAGGACACACACAACCACAGAAGAGTGCCAAACAAAAACAACAAACAGGATGACCGGTGAAACGCAACACTGCACGGCTGCCCACGCTGCGGCAAGCCGCGGGACACATGCTGGAAAGTAAAAAAAAAAAAAGGTAAATCCGTCTTCCATTACACATTCACTCAAAAACAAGAAAAAGCTGCACGTTGGTGCGTGGCCTCCAGATCGGTGCGCATGTCTCGTCTGCAGATAAGAAATAAATAAATAAGTTACAATCCTTCCATTCGTTTAAACACACGGTGCCCACACATTATTTATATTCCACTGGGACACTCGGCGCAGTTCCGTGCCCCCATTCCATTGTCTCTTTTATTAGCCGGCGCCGTCGGCGTGGCACACAAAGCCGAGAGCGCCTCTGATTAAACAAACAAACAAAAAACAAGAACACTGAGTAGATCCCGCCGTTGTCGGAGGACCACAACACGGGGAGGAAATAATAAACCAAACAAACAAAAACCACACGATGATGGCCTCGGGGGGAGCATGCTTCCACATGGAGGAAGAGCTCTGCGCAGCGAAGGGGATGTAAAATAAAATTAAAACCAGATAAAATGAACGGTGCATCCACAGAAAGCGGCAATTAACTAAAAGAGTGCGTGGACAGACGCATATGTTCCCGCTGGAAGCAGGAAGTCCTCACCGCGATTTCTCAGTAAAGGCCACAAAGGCGCAAAACCCAAGCCCCAGCAGCAGCAACTGCGACACGCCCCCACGCATGGAGCCGTCACCTTTTCCTTTTTTGCCGCCATCGTTTCCTTTTTTATCGTCGCTCTTCTTGACCATTTTTGGTTCACCGACACTCAGTGGGCGGTTGTACAGAAAGACGCTCGTCACCGTCACGCTGCTGTTGATGTCCCCCTCGCCTCCCCAATTTAGAGGAATGAGACTTCAGCTCCCGCGCCCCAACTGTTGGTATCGTCTCTGGGCTCCCCACAATCACGCCATCCACGTACACGGAGCCCTTGTTGCCGCCCTGAAGCGTCAGCGCCACCTGGTATTCTCTCCCAGGCTCCCACGTGCTGTCCTGTGCTGTCTTTGTGCCGTCAAACACCGTCTCCCACGCTTTATTCATGCTGTACGACAGCCCAATGATCTTCGCGCCGTGACCGTCCCCCAGACCCGCACCCAGAAAAAAATTACTCTTCTTTGGAACCTCGTGGACGGTCACCGTCGCCACAAGAGTGAAATCGCAATTTACAAACTTGTACAGCCCATTGCTCTCCCGGCCGTTCACGGGCCATGTTGTCCCGGACCCAAACCCCGTGAATTTGAACCCGTCATGGACCTTCACCGCATTCATGACCTTTGCATTCACGCAACGGTAATCGTCGATCCACGTGACATCGCCGGACGATGCGTCGGGCAGGAATCCAACCAGAACTGCCGTGGGTGTGGACGACTTGGAAAAGGAGGCGTCCAGCTGCGCCCAAGTGCTGAGGACGGAGTTGATCGTCTTCAGCTCCTCCGTCTGGCGGGCAAGTGGAATGGCACTGCCTTTTTCATTGGCCCTCTCCTGTAAAAGGTGCAACGCATCATCCAAGTACAGCAGGGTGTTGGCAATCGTCTTTTTCTCAGCACTGTCGACAAAAATCGGCCCAACATAAAACGTGCGGTTCTTGTCCGTGACCCAAAGGTAGAGCGCCTTGTCCCTTTTCTCCCCCAAGGCGTACCCTCTCTGAATGTACAGCATGACCTTCTTTTTCTCAATGGTCGCTGTGACGAAAGCTCCCACATGCAAGCTTTCGTCCCAACGGAATCCTGATGGTGCGTTGACCCAAATGCCCGGGAGTGTTCTGACAGCCTTAGTCCACGTTTTCCCCATGTCACGCGACTCGAACACACTCTGGGCATCCACACAATGAAAAATCATGAGAATTTGTCCACTCTCCCATTCGGTGACGCGGGGATCAAGGCATCCCACAGAAAAAATGCTCTCTGGGAACACCCAGTTGTTGTCCCTGTCCGTCGAGTAAATACTCATGGAGAAAGGCTAATTTTTCCCCTTCGCCGCCACCAGGGGGAACACAAGCGTGTCATTCTGCATCAAAATACCTGGGCCACCAGCAGTCAAAAGTTCCCTCAGGTGATCTTGAGTGTGTTTGGGGATCTGTTGTGGAAGCGACTTGGGTTCAGCCCAGCTGATCAGTGTACTCTGCACGCCGTCCGTGGACTGCGTGGCCACACCCTCCACCAGTTGAATATCCCAGCCATCTTGCACCCACATAACATCATGGTAATATCCTAAAGTATCGCTTCCCACAAGTAGAAACACCTTACTGTCCCTCGCAACTGCTGTGGGCCGGTGCAAAACGCGCAAACAATTATTGCCATGCCTACTGCAAAGCACGGTGCGTGCCCTTCACTCCTTCTTGGTGATCTCAGCGACAATGGACGGCCACGTCTCCGCAGCCTTGATGTACCCGGCCACAATGTCGGGAGACCGAACCCCAAACAAGTTATGTTCATGGGCGTTATACTCGGACAAGCCTTCAGCAAAGGCAACCATTACTCCGCCAGCACGGACGAGAGAGGGTGAGACAAATGCTTTCTTCACTTCAAATAAACCAGTCCCATCTCTTCACACCACCGGCGTATTCTTCGGCACAAAAACGTCGATCTCCTGCGCCAGTTGCAGAACCCCGGACTTACTCTCCGCAGCGGCCGCAGCTCCATTGCCACAGCAAACCGTCACGAAAAAAAGGAGCGGCACCGCAAAAGTAAACACGTGCCAAGAAATGTTGGGCCTCTGCTGCTCACTCTCTCTTCCTTCCCTCCTCCTCCCGCTCGATCCGGTCACGCGGCGACGGTTGTGTGTGCGGGGCGCCTTAACAGCTGCAGCAACACGTGAGAGCATATAAATATTTGCTTGTGTGGGCGGTGTGTGTGCTGTTGGTCCTTTCAGAGCCTTCGAGTTTCACGGTGGCGATTCGCGCTTGTTTCCTTCTTTCCTAGTGTGTCTGTGTTCAAGAAGTGGAAAAGAGCACAGCGACAACAGCGGCAATACACCAGACACGTCAGTGGGGAGCAGAGCAGGGCACCCACTCAGAGAGCGAGTCATAAGACAATCCGGAAGGGACAGCACGGAGGACCATCGCCCACAGAAAAGAGCAGCAACACGGCAAGTCACGGCGGGCCGTCGGTGTGTGCGGGCCAGCCCTCACGCGGTGCAACACGCCACACACCCAACAGGGAATGAAAGACAGACAGGCGGAGAGAGATGAATGGATGCCGTCAAGAGGCACTCACAATCAACATGGCCCGTGAGCATGCCGCCACTCCACGCAGGAACACAGGAGGAGAAGATGACAGGAGAAAAAAGCAAGAAGCAGCACAAACACACAAAAGAAACAAACACCAGTCTCAGGAAAAGCACCGCCACGGTCCTCACCCTGGCCGGCGACTCCACACCAGCCCTCACACACACACACACGCAATCGCAGTGCTGTCAGTCCGCGGGTGAGAGGATTCGGTCCTCCACACAACAAACGCACACACCGCCAGCAATCAACCACCAATGAACGAGGAAGAGAAGAGACACACCGCCACCGCCTCCGGTTCAGTCCCACGGCCAACGGAATACGGCCACAGCCCCGCAGCCAACAGACAACGCACGAAGCAAGCTATCACACAAAGTGCCACACGCGGAAACGGATCCTCATCCACCCATGACGCGGCGCTTCACTCCATGCGGTCACACGGAGTGCACTGATTCCTCAATAGAACTTATTCGTCGTACATCCCCTAAAGATGCCTCTGTTATTGATGGGCCTTAGAACACAATAGAAGAAAATGGGCAATGCAGTAGTACTGCGACAGCGCCAAACACAATGATTCCCTCATATCGGGCAATTCTCCAATCATGCCTCGTACCACACACAACTAACATACTATATAAAAACCACCCAATGTTTTTCACCAGAAACCAAACAACCCCACTCCCCCCTAATTTCTTCTGCCACTGTTATGTTCGATAGCGTTGGTCATTTTTGGGCATTCGTCTTCGGTGCTGCCGCATGGGGCTGGTGCACCCGCACCGTATGCACACAAAAAAGTATCCAAAAATATATAACTCCCACAATATTTCTTTACCACAAATCAAAAACTACCCCTTTCATCCCCCAATTCTTTCTCCTATTTCGTTTTTCCTCGCCTCAGAGAGCTTCGTCTCTTCCAAAGTCTCCGGATGATACTGCTGCTATGTACTGGCGCACCTCTTCCTCCCAGAACGCCGCAATCTCTCGGTTTTCAGCACGGCTCACATTATCGGAATTTACAACATCACATCTCCGCCAGCCATTCATCGGCATGTTGTCTGCGTGCTGCACATTAATAATATCCCACGACATGTCTCGGGATAACTCCTCCCAACCATTAAAATATGCCGCCAGGCACTCAGTGAACTGCCTCACAGTGCTGGTTGTGGTGCGGTGCTCACCCGCCGTAGTCATCCGCAGCCCAACCAGCGTCATTGGATTTGAGTCCACAAAGAAAAAGCCGTCCACCAGCGGAAAGTGTTGGACCTTCGGTTCATACAGCACCCAGTGGTCCATAGCAACCGGATTGGAAAGGCGTTCCGGTGGCGGTAGAACCTCTTTTCTGGTGAAGCTCGTGTCTGAGTGCTCTTTCAGCGCACAGCTGTGTGGCTCACGTCGTCCTGGTGGCCTCAGTTCCTTGATTTTAAGTCTTATCGCACGTAGGAATTCCTCATTCAAAAATGCGGATACGGCATACTTTTCAATAAGATATGGTGGGACATAATCCCAGAACCTCAAAACAAAAAAAATAAAATCGGACTGCTTCATTTCATTCTCCAACCTGGACAAAGTTTCACGTTCGAGGTGGGGAGATACCAGCAAATTCAGAGGCGATTCAATGTTGTTTCCTCGTCGTACTCGGACAACCTTCACAAGCTTTCGAGACAAGTCATTGTCATTGGACAAATAACAGCAGCCAATACCCAAATTACGCTCTAATTCCGAAGCGGTCGACCCATCCACGGCTTGCTGACACGCTTTAATGCGGTCATCATATGCCTGTTTATCAAAGATGGAGCGGAGAATTGGTCCCACGTTATTCATGCGACCCCTCACCTCCTTCCAGTATTCCGCTTGCTCCTGCAGGGGTCGATTGCGCTTCATCCAAATGCACATTGCCCTCACATCGTTTTCTTCGGGACAATTCGTTACGATTGCAGTAGCGTCCATTTTTTTTTTCCACCGTTCATATTCGTTTTTGTCTGGTGGTGTCACCACAATCATGCCCCATCCCTTGCAAGGCAAACCAGCAGACGGTTGACGACATGCCAATGTCGCATCGTAGATACAATACCCTTTAACCCCACGGAAAAAAAAAATGTTTACAACATCCTCAATCCTGGGGTTATCCCTGTATGTTGATACCGTTTTGGTGGTCTTGTCAAACAGGAATGATTGACTCCCAATAACGTACGCAACCATTGGGAGCTGCTCCGCATCGTAGTGCAGCAGCTGGTAGAGGAGGTACGAGCCGGCAGCCAAAGATTTCCCAATCCCGGGCGTCCCAATCAACAGACGCTGCTTGGGCGTAAAGTAGGTCCCACGGTGAGGACTGAACCATTCGGTTAGATCATTCCTGACGATCCGCCACACTCGCTCCACCTCAGAGTTCACGTAGCAGTCACGAGTGGATTCATCCTCCTTCCACGAGTACGGCCATCCCCTGTCCGAGGTGAGCACCATCAGTCTGGGACGTGCTGCACCGGATTGCTCCACACCGTCATCCTTTTCGAGAAATTCGCCAACTTCCTTGTACTTCCATGACTGTTCTGGCTCCCCCTCCCTCACATACATTCCCGCCCCTTTGCCGCCGGGAACCTCCACGACATGATGCCACCTCGCATTGTACACAGACTCGTAGCATCCCTCCAGTTTCATCGGCGCACTCATCGTCATTGAGCTCATCAATTCAATGAAGGCTGCATCCAAGAAATGTTTAGTGAGGTTATGAACATTTGCTTTTACCTCCTCGGCAGCTAATGACCACTTCAGTAGATTGTCCACACCTTTCTCGTAAAGCTTGTTTACATCCTCTTCCATATCCATTTCATCCCTCACAGCCCTCTCCATCCTCTTGTAACGATCGGATGCCTTTATTTCGAGCAGTAAAAACGCACCGCAAATATACCTCGTAGAATCCTTTACAAACTCCTTCAGCAAGACATTCCGGTTGGCGGGCAAAATGCCCATGCCGTCCAACTCCATCACAAGAAAATCATTCAATTGTATGTCCATGACGCGAACTCTTCCTCTAAATAGCACATCTTTGATCGTGGTGGTAACGGTCAATTCTAATTTTTGCCGTCGGCTTGCCCTTTCTTTCGTCTCACGCCTTTCTTCCGCCTTACGCCTTTCTTCTGTCAGCACCCGAGAAATAGCTGCGTTTATTTTTCTCCTTGCAACAGGAGTGACCGTATCCTTTCCTTCATAGTCCCTCCATTGCTCGAGAGAGTACACACCCTCGTGATGAAGCCTGTGTACATCTTCTTCCAAATCCATTTCCTCCCTCACAGTCATCTCCATCCTCGCATAAGCACCTGTTGCCTGTATTTCGTTCAATACTCCCGCATCGCGGATATACCTCGTGGGATCCTTGAAAAAATCCCCCAGCCAAACGCACCGATTGGCGCGCAAAATGCCTCTGCCGTCAAATTCCATCGTAAGAAAATCATTCAGCTTCATTTTATGGACGCGAACTCTTCCTCCAAACAACAAATCTTCGATCATAGCAGATAAGTTGAATATGATTTGTTGCTGGTCCCGCCTTGCCCTTTCTTCCGCCTCACGCCTTTCTTCCGCCTTACGCCTTTCTTCTGTCAGCACCCGAGAAATAGCTGCGTTTAGTTTTCTCCTTGCAACAGGAGTGACCGTATCCTTTCCTTCATAGTCCCTCCATTGCTCGAGAGAGTACACACCCTCGTGATGAAGCTTATTAATAGCCTCCAATAATATTTTCAGCGTTTGGTACGCAGTTAAGTTAACAATTCTTCTAAGAAGCTGCTGGTCTTGTACGTAAGCATCCGGCTCCTGAACAAACGCCTCCATCGTGACGTTCCCATTTCTTTCCACAACCCACTCCTCGCCCAAGTAGCTCCGAAGGAAATCGTTCAATTTCATGTTGTTCCTGTTAGTGCTTCCCTCCAGCAGAATGTCCTCTACGCTGCTGCTCATGGTCCACTGTGGTTGCTGCGACTCCGCTCTTATGTTTGTCGCAGCGGGTTGATCTCTCTCACCCTCAAAGTCCTGCCTCGCTCTCCTCTGACGATCTCCCTGCGGCACGGCAGACGCTCGGCTCCTGGCATTGCCACCTTGCACTCTATTTTGCTTTGGAGGCATTGTTTCTCCTTGTTTTCTTGGTTGGATTGAGTTAAAGCTGAATACTGACCGACAAACGAGAAAGGAATAAAAAAGAAAATAGTCACAGAAATGACTGGCAGCCACAACAATAGTGCCATACGCGCGGTGTGACGGCACTGTACTCGATGCACGAGGACCACCACAACGACGGCGCGCGGGTACCATTCACCCAGCACAGTGTTGGTGAGAAACAACAACAATAACAACGTGGTGGACGCGGAGGGTTCGTCCACGCATTCCGCTCGCCACGGTCCCGCACCCGTGTGGCACCGCCGTCACCGCACACACTCTGCAAGAGGACGTGGGCACATAAACCCTGACACGCACACAAAATAAAAAGTAAATTCGGTAAGGCAGAGGCCACACGCAGGGACCACAAATCATACACACCACAACAGCGATGCATCACGGTAATCCCCCACACAACAGAAAAGAGTACAATTTGCAAGCTTTATGGAAAATATTTGTGGTGTGCATGGCAAAAGAGTGCCGTGACGCTGCCTTTCATACTGCACTCGCCATTCACGTATCAATTGGAAGCACGCAGCCACCACTCCTCCGTTTCGCTCCCCGTGCTGCTCGTGCCGCTCCACTGGAGGAAGTTGTCACCGCACATCCCCCTCACCGTGCATTGTGGAATAAAAATCAACCACACGGCATGGGTGCGGTGCCACCCCGCCAATAAATCCCAGGAAACTCCCCACTGTCTCGTGTGGCACAGACCGCAGTATTATTATGCCTGCGAAAGGCTTTTTTTCCAAACAAGAACGTGGCCCCACCACACGCCCGTAAAAACGTTTGGTCCGTCGCACGCAAAGGGTGGAGCGAGAGAACGGCAGGAAAGGCAACACCGGCAGCCATGAGCAGCCCGCACACGCAAACACACCGCTGCCCCGCACATCACCAAAAATAAAAATACCAAAGAAACATGTCACATCCCAACTACAAATCGCAAGTGCGGTTGCAGCTGACACTCCCACCTCCTGGGCGTGTGCGGCCCCTCGCTGCTCGGCGCTCCAAGTGGGATAACCAAAAGCACCAATTCGGAAACATTCGACCACCGCCACAGCAGTCACGCTCCCCATTTCTCACAAAGGCGAAGGCTTGCAGTGGCGCAGCGGACGGCGGCACGCACAGTCGCAGGGTAATGAACTGCCGCGGGAATTACGCAACGGCGATGCGCCCCTCCTTTGGGAAGCCCAACAAAAAACATGTGTCGCGCAGTCCCCGTGAGCAACACACATTGAACCGTATTCAGCTCCACTACTGTGGCCATCCGCACTCAAAGCATGAGTGCGACAACGCAGGCCAGAAAGCACGGAATAACAGCACGCATCCCTCCAATAAAGGTCGGGCGGCGTCCGTGCTGCCTTCAACAATAATTCCACCCCACATCACCCCTCTGCATATCCGCAGCAAAAAGGCCCACACGGTGTACACTACATTAGGAGTTCCTAAAGCGGCAAAAATCGGATCACCGGAGCGCTGCCCTCTTCTCAATGTTGAGTAGAGGCTCTCTGATCATTGTCGCCGCCAGCCCGCGGTATTATGGAGGAGCATTACATTCTCGGCATATCTCTCCATTTACTTCACTTTCCCGACGCCGCAAATGAAGTGACGTCCCACAAGCAATTTCGACCGGTCTGAAAAACGTGACGTATCAGACGCGATGAAACTGTGTGCGTGTGTGTTATTACGGGCGAGCGATGCGATGCTCTCGCACATCCTTTTATTCCAATCCTGCGAAACACTCCATTTGGCGGTGCTGAAAAAGCTGGAAACCAAACACGCACAAATCGCACAATGAATGCCTCTGGAGAAAAAAAACAAATAACGTCAACACAGACACAGTAACAAAACAAGCAAAAGAAAACCAACCTCTGCGCGTCCTCCCGCAAGAAGGTGAAGACACACACGCTTGTCACCTTAGCTTCACTCCAACTCCTCAAAAGTTGATAGGTCTATAGTAGGAGGAAACACGCCACTCTTCCCTCGCTCCCTGTCACGAGGCATGGACGCTGCGAGAGGCTGCCAAGATGAGCCACACGTGTGTGAAGGGCCCCAATGCTCGGGGCAGGTCGACAGCCACCCACACTCACCCCCACTCACAAAAGGGCAAAGGCAAGGACATGGAGAAGAGAAGCCCGCCGCACAGTGCATTCAAGAAGGCACACGTAGAAGCACCGCCATCCACATCGTACCGCAAAACAGCAATGCGAACAGCACACCCACGGCCGCTACAAGAGGAACGAGGTGCATCCAATTCCACCACAGTCCTTTACTTACCCCTGCCCCGAAGGAATAGCGTTACGCCTCACAGCAGGTCGTGGCGGTGGCGTCCCACACTCACAGTGAGGCACGGCGCACACCATCCGCTCCCCTCCGACTGCACTCATCAGGGCGCCCAGTCACCCTCGTACCATCGCAATGGGGAACACAAACAACCGTCGTCGCGGACTATCGATGCCTCTAGCAGAAAAGAAAAAGTGATGAGGGAGTGTCAACTGCACAGCTAGCAGTGGGACACCCAATGGGACACAAAGACACATAGTGGCATTCAACACAGCAAATAATAAAACAAGCCGCAGCGAATTGCCAAATACAGAAAACCAAGAAAAAAGGCGTAGGTTCAGCAGAAATAAATAATTAAATAATTAATAATAAAGAAAAAAAAAAGAAATCGCCTCAGTGGACTTTCATTTTATGTATCCCTCAGCGCAGCAGGAATTGTGCATCTCCATATGTTTCTTACAGAGGAGAAAAAAAAGATCGCAGTGTTCCACGTGTCCACACGAAATCCCTCACATTTCATGAGGCACTCGGCCTCTTCCTCCACCCCTCGTTTTGTACAGTCCGCGGGACTGCACAGCAATGAGGCCGGCACCGCGTGCGGTGCAACAAAAGCAAAAAAAACAGGGGGAAACACGTCACTCATGAGAGTGTGCAGCTAGCGGCAAACGAAAAATAAATTAAAAAAATAGTAAAAAGACAGGGGTTCTGATCCCTCCAACAAAGCACCAGCAGCACATTATATCCAGAGGTGAAAACAAAAGGGATTTTAAAAAGTCCTCAACGGAGTGCATTGAGTCTTCCTGAGGAGCTGCACACTCTTTTCCACGGAGAGCCGCGGCTCCACTCCCACCGTCTCACACAGCCGAGAGCTGCAATGCCCACAGCCCCAGAAGGAGAAGCAACAAGATCCGAGGCACACACCCACACGCACGGTGCCGTAGCCACCAGAGCCCTTCTCCAACAAAGTGTTGTTCGTGAGCTGAGAAGCGTTTCCATCTTTGGAGCCACTGCCAGTTCCCGCTGGATCATCCGGCCCTTCAAGCATTTTCCCAGAAAGAGACTCTGGAAGAGCAAGGTTGCTGGCACCAACTTTTTCGGTTTCTTCCCTGGTCAATATGCGGTTGTACAAAAAGACACTCGTCACTGTCACATACTTGTTTTGGCTCCCGGTGTCGCTTGCACTGCTTCCATACCCTCCAATGTAAAAGTGTGAATTCGCGCGTGGCCCCTTTCCCGATGGTGATGTCATTTCAGCATCCCACACACACACACACACACCATTGATCTATACGAAGGCCTTGTTGCCGGTCCTGCAGCGTGAGCTCCACTCGTTATTGTTTGTTCAACTCCCAAAAGCCGTTGTGTTTGTTTGCGTTGAACATCACCCCCCAACTCCTTTCATGGCTGTGCGACAGCCAAAAGTGCACAGTGCAACCTGCTTCCTTCACGCCAATCAAAGGGATACTCTTGACGCCTGCGTGTGTCTCGCGAATAGCCACCGTCGCCACAAGAGCTAAGTTGTAATTCGCAAAGCCACAGTGATTATTATCCTCCCAACGGTTCACGGGTAACATTGCCCCGTGAATTGAGGCCCATTTGTGGCATTCTTGCCGTTCGTCACCGTTGCAATCACACAACGGCACTCGTCGATACACGTGTTGGCAGTGCCTGCGTTGGGCAGATATCCAACCAGACCCACCGTACTTACGGGCGACGCGGAGAAGGAAGCGTCCACGTCCGCCCAATTGCGGAGGATGGAAGTGATCATCCGCAGCTCCTCCGTCAGGGAAGGCAGGAAACAGGCTGCTTTTCTCTTCATTGTGCCTCGCTCCCACAAGGTGCAACGCATCATCCGAGTACAGCAGGGCGTTGGCAATCGGCTTATTCACAGCAGCGTCCATAGAAGCCGGTCCAACACAAAACACGCGGTTGCTGTCAGTCACCCAAACGTAGAGCGCATGGGCCTCACTCTCCCACCACGGGGAGCCCACTTTCCAAGCCTACAGCACGACGCTCCTTCCTCCAACGGTCGCAGTGACAATGGCTCCCACACGCAAGCTCATGCCCCAACGACCCGATTGTGAATTGGCCCAAACGCCTGCAATTGCCCCGGGTAATTCCACCCACATTGTCCCCTTGTCACGTGACTCGTGCACTCTGCAGTACCGGCTCCCATAGCAATGAGTAATCACGAGAAGTTGTCCCTGTTCCCACTCGGCAATGAGAAGGTCAATGCAGTCCACAGGAAAAATGCCCCTTGAAAGCACTCAGCTGCTGCCGCCGTCCGTCGAACAGATGATCATGGAGAAATCGTCTTTTTCGTCATTATACGCAATCACGGGGACACAAGCGTGCCATTCACCAAAACACCTGAGCCGCCAAAAACCATCAATCCATTCGCGCCGCGTTCGTGAGTCTCGGGAATGATCTGTGATCACAGCAATTTGGGTTCACACCAGTGGATCAGCTCGCTCCGTCTGCCGTCATTGGGCTGCGTGAATTCACCCACAACCAGTTGAGCATCACGGTCCCTCAACGCCCAATTGAACCCACCATTCGTACCAAACTTTTGCTAGCTTCCCGCACGAAGAAACGCCCTATTGCCGCTCTCAATTGTCGTGGGATTGGACGCGAAGCCTACACCACCCTTTATATTCGCTGTGCTCAACACGATGTGTGTATTCCGG